TGAATTTACGCATAGTGGAGTCTGATTAGCGCAAGTGGGTGTCCAATCGACATTTGAGATTGTGAAGCATGGTGGTGTGACCCCATAAATCCTGGTTTATCTCGGCCGCCGCCCTAATCGTGGTTTCTGCGCAGCTGGCCGCGGAGACGCATTTATTGCTCTGATAGCTGGTGACCTAATCTCTCAAGCTGCAAGAATTCTTGTGAGAATGTCTACGTCTAATCACTCTGTCTTCTGTCGCCACAACCTGACTTCAGTCACTTCCCACCTTCCCTCATGCATTAAATGCTTATTTGTAACCAGTGGGTTTGCTGCATTAAACAGGCGCTACTTCATTAAATGAAGCATGGGTCCCTGCTATCACGTGATGATCTGACTTTAATATTTCTGGCCGCGATTTTGCTTGGCCTCGGCCTTGGCCTGCACTCGAGGCCGAGATGATCATGCCTTGGCATTTTTCTTGTCTTCAGGAAGGCAAAGCACCTTGTTGAAACGTTGCGTTTCAGTTTTACGAGCAAGTGCCAGGGCCGTAGATTTGACACTTGATGCATCCCTTCGCATATTCTATGCAATCTTTCAAAATGGTCGGCCAGTAATAGCCGTGCCTCCGAACCAACCACCTCATCTTGACCCCAGACTGGTGAGCACCACAAATCCCCTCGTGGGATTCAGTCATGATGACCTTGATATCCTCGGCGCTGGGACATAGGAGTAATAAACCATCTGATCCTTTTCGATACAGCTCATTCTGATAAATCAAATAACACCGAGCTCGGAAACGTGTAGTCCTCTCATGGCTGCCAGAAGGGTTACGCAAATACTTCACTATGGGGTAGCGCCAGTCGGCCTCGGCCGTGTTGATCTCGTCGGTGATATCAGCCGAAGATACTTGCGCTGTCATTCCTCGTTCGGCCAAAGCTGGCAAGGTACGCCTCTCGATCCTTATCACGCGATCGTGGTCGGTGTTCGGGATGTTTACGCCTGATGCTACCTGGGCCATCTCATTGGCCTCGCCGTTCTCGGCGCGCGGTATATGAACAAAAGAAATTCTAGAAAAACCATCGGCCGTGTTGAGTGCCATTACATAATACATGGCCAAGTTCTCGCTCGTGCATTGGTATTCCCCAATCAGTTGGTTAACCACCAGCTGAGAGTCGCCGTAGACCAAAACACGGGTTGCCTTCATTTCTTTCAAAATCTCGAGACCGATGATCAGCGCTTCGTACTCAGCCTGATTATTAGTGCATTTGAAGTCGAGTTGGAATGTGAACTGCCATTTTTGCCCTTGAGGAGATTCGATCATGACTCCGGCTCCTGACCTGGCCTCGGTGTTGGACCCGTCGAAGTACGTGGTCCAATAATTCTTTTCCATGCGGGCCATACCGATCTCGACCTCCAACTCCTCTTTTTGTCCCTGGGCCGGGTGATGAGCTAGGAAATCGGCCAATGCCTGACCCTTGACTGATTTCTGAGCTATGTATTGAAAGGTAAATTCGGACAATGCCATCGTCCACTTCCCAATTCGGCTGCGTATGATCGGCCGAGTAAGCATATATTTGATGAGATCGGTCCTGGAGATGATTTGAACGACCGAAGGAAGCATGTAATACCGCAACTTGGTGGACGCGAAAAAAAGCGCTAGGCATAATTTCTCGATCGGCGAATAGTTTAATTCGACCGTGTTGAGGGTGCGGCTTAGATAGTGCACCGCTTGTTCACGCCCAGACTCGTTGTTCTGAGCCAGCAGACAGCCGATAGAGCCCTCTGAAGCCGAAATGTAAAGCCTCAATGGTTTCCCCCTTTTTGGCGGCATAAGGACCGGCGGTTGGGTTAAATATTTCTTGATGTCGTCGAGGGCCGCCTAATGCTCTGTCCCCCATACGAACTGTTCCGTGTCTTTCAGTTTGAGCAAGGGAGACAACGGCCGGATTTTCCCTGCCATATTGGATATGAAACGCCGTAAAAAGTTCACCTTACCGAGGAAGGACTGGAGCTCCTTTTTGGTTCTTGGCGGAGGAGCCGCCATAATGGCCGTAGCTTTATTTTTATCTACCTCGATTCCTCGTTGGTGAACCAAGAAACCAAGGAAATTCCCGGCAGTGACGCCGAAAGCACATTTCTTTGGGTTCATCTTTAGGCCATGCGCCCGCATTCGATCAAAAGCTTGCCGGAGATGTTCTACGTGGTCGGCTTTGGATGGGGACTTTACAACCACGTCGTCGATGTAGACTTCAAGGGTCCGGCCTATGAGGTCTTGGAAAATTAGGTTCATAGCTTGCTGATATGTTGTGCCGGCATTCTTTAGGCCGAAAGGTATGACTACCCACTCATAGGTCCCAATTGCTCCTGGACACCTAAACGCCGTTTTGTGGACATCCTCCTCGGCTACGAAAATCTGGTTGTAACCCGCATGGCCGTCCGTGAAAGACAAGAATTCGTGCTTGGCGGCCCCGTCCACCAGGAGATCTGACACTAGCATGGGGTATTCATCCTTGGGGGTTGCGAGGTTCAGATTTCGGTAATCGGTGCAAACCCTCAAAGCCCCAGTCCTTTTCAAAACTGGTACAATGTTGGCTAGCCACTCAACGTACCGGGCTGTTCGGATGAAGCCGGCCTTAAGGAGCCGTTCAATTTCCTCCTTGACCCTAAGCTGTACCTCGGTCGAGAAACGCCTTGGCGGCTGCTGGAAAGGCTTGAACCCATCCTTGATTCTCAATTTGTGCTCGACCAAACTTCTCGGCAACCCAGGCATCTCGTGATAATCCCAAGCAAAACAATCCTTATGTTCATGGAGCAGGCCGATAACCTCGGCCGCTAACTTAGGATCCAAAAGATCGCTTACAAAAAGAGGCCGTGGTTTGGCCTCCGACCCTACATTTATTTCTAACAAAGGGTCCTGGACTTCAGGGTAGTCATCCTCCATCTCGGCAAGCGCCGTTTCTAGGTCGTCCAGAGTCAAAGCGTCCGTATCGTCCGATTCGTGGAGGAATTCGATCAGGTTGATTGGTGAATTTGGCCGTAAGGATTCCTCCGCCCAATGTTCCAGCAGTCTTTCTACCAAATCCTTCACGGCCGCTGCCCCCTCCTCTTTAGTGGCCTTGTCTGTCATCTATGTTGGAAAAATGGCTCACCTAAAGGATACAAAGGTTTTGGCGCTCAAAGGGAGAATTTGAAACTGCCTAAAAGCGACCGGTCGCTGGGAAGTTGCGACCGGTCGTTTCTGGGCAGATTCGAGGTCTGGAGCTAAACCAAGGAGCGACCGGTCGCCAGTACTTTGCGACCGGTCGCAGGAAGCACAGCGACCGGTCGCATGGCTTTTACGACCGGTCGTTTAGAAGCAGATTCAACGTCTGGAGAGAAAACCTCTGGCGACCGGTCGCTCCAATCGTGCTGTGACGTTTCCTTACGTGTTTTCAACTGTGTTTTCGATGGCTATCGCTTTCCACATGATTTCAGAGGCTTAGTGGGTCACTTCTGAGTTAAATGAATGTTGACTACCTGCTGGATAAGTTGGGAGAGCACTCATGGCTAGTTGGTTATCTTATTTCAAAGAGATCACTCTCCATTTTCTGGTGTAAGTGGGAGGTGGCTGAGTGGGATATCATTTACCTACTTGATCTGACATTTAGTCTAAGTGGTGACTAAAGGAAGGAACGTGGAGGACAAAGATTGTGTCTTATCTTATGTCCATTGGCTTGTGTAGGAAATGGGGTGAAGTAAGATAACACAAGAGGAGAAAACAAGTTGGATAATTAGGAAGTGGCTGAAGTAGAAGTTGATGTTAGAGAGTTAGATTTTTCAGTTTTGTTAAGTGTATCAAGGTGTTGAGCAAGGGTGTGAGAGAAACAGATTGTGAGGGTAGTGTTCTAAGGGGGTTTCCTTTGTAAACCAAAGTTGTAACCTATCTTCATTAGTGAAATTTCTCAAGGTGATCACCAAAGAGGATGTAGGCAATTTGCTGAACCTCTATAAACACTTGTGTCATTTGTGCTTGGTTAATTTCTGTGTGTGTGTGTAAGACTCATCCATCATTGAGTTCTTTGTCTAAAGTCCATCAACAACAAGATCTTTAAGGGCAGTGAGTTAGTCATTAGATCCGAGCTTGTACGGCGTTGGCCTAAAGGCTGGTGAGGTCGATCAATACTTCGCGCGCCGAATCCTGTCGGATATTCTCGGTGCCTAACTCCAGCACTTTCTGGGCCGTTGTTCTAGTTGGTCGGCCGTTTGCATCGTGGCCGGTGAGAACAACCCATCCAACGTCGTCGTCGTAGATCCGAGCTTGTACGGCGTTGGCCTCGAAAGGCTTTTCATCGGCCGGGTGTATAGACACCTTCTGGCCGTCCCAAAAGAATAATAGCTGGAAGAGAGAGGACGGTATACACCCAGACTGATGGTTCCAATCGCGGCCGAGCAGTATGTTGTAGTCGACACTGGATTCGACCACGTAGAAGGCCGCAACCATTGTCTGGTCGGCCACGGTAATCTTTAAGGGCAATACGCCAATAGTCTTAGACTTGTCGCCGACAAAGCTGCTCATGACCACGTCGCTGGGGATGAGGTCCTCCTTTGACTTGTCTAGCTTCCTCATCAAGGAATAAGGAAGGATGTTGACCGTCGCCCCACAGTCAACAAAAACCTTGGATATGGGCACACCCTCTATGTGAGCCGAGATGGTTGATTGGTGAATTTGGCCGTAAGGATTCCTCCGCCCACTGTTCCAGCAGTCTTTACGGCCAACAATTCTTCCTTTGTCTTTGGCCTTAGATCTAACTGCTCCCCGGCCACGTCATCCTCTAGGCCGTTGGTCTGTCCCCCTGGGGCTGAAAACTCGGATGGTAGCACCATGACCATGTCGATGCCGACTTCCTCCTGTTCCCGCGAGTTTCCCCTACCGGCTTCTTCTTCGGCCTCAAAGACGTCCTTGGCGAGGACCGTTTCCTCGATCATCCCGAGGATCCCCTCATATTCCTCATCGGAGATTCCTAAAGCGGGGTCATCTTCGGCCTCGTGCCCGAAAAAAGGATCACCGAAACCTTCAATCATAGTTCTCGCAGTCCCCGGGCTACCGGTCGTGGATGCTTTGATCTCAGGGGGGTCCGAGGCTTTGACCTCCTCCTTGAGGGCCCTTCTAGCCTTTGCCAATGAGTCCCTGGCCGTTAGGTAATCGTCTAGGCGGCTTACCCGGCCCTTTTCCTCGGTCGTCAGGCCGAAGACAGTGTTCGCCGGAGTCACAGTAAAGTACTGGCGGAGATATTCTAAATCACCCCTGCTAAAGGGGATCTTAGCCTCTGATTCGCCGAGGTCGGGCTGGTAACTTGGCAGGCCTCTTGCTCTGGCTTCCCTGTTTGCCTCGTATACGGCCTTAATGGCCGAGTCAGAACTGCTGTTGATGAGGAGCGCTTCCGCCTTTGTGTTCTTGAGGGCCAATTCCACGATTTCACGGCTCTTAGGGGTCATGCCGTACAGATCCGTGGTCGAATGGTCCTTATGGAATTCCTTGAGAAAGGACAAACCGTTGGCCGAGAAAGGGGGGTCCCTCCCGCGGTAGATGTCGACGACACCTTCGTCTGTTTTCTCCATGACCGCAGCCTTTGGCTGAACTGAAATGGCCGATGATCCATGGGGACTCTTGTCCTTCCTAGCGCGCCATGTCCTCAAAGGCTTGGTGCTGGCCGTTTTCGCTGTTGAGGGAACAACCGGTTTGGATGATGGCCCATCTGTAGCCGCCATTTTTCTTTGGTGCTTGAAGCCTTCGGCCTCGGTCGTCTGAATTCTGGCCTGCTGAACCTGTCTCTGCATTCTCCTCAGCTGGGTTTTCGTTAGTTGTCGCCACTTTCTTTTGGCGCTTGAAGCCTTTGGCCTCGGTTGTTTGCATCCTGGCCTGCTGAACCTGTCTCTGCATTCTCCTCAGTTGGGTCTTCGTCAACGGTTCGGCCCTGCCCCCAGGCCATGCATGGTACCAACGGTCATCCTTTATGACCGGTAGTTTGAAAGTTTTTATCGACCTAGGGGCGGCCTCTTCTTCGAGGCTGACCGAGGTTCTGGGGGTTTGTGGCCCCAGTCGGCTGAAAACAGTTATGCTGGTCTGCCGTCGGTCGTACTGACCACCGAATCTCTTTATGGTCGTTTGAGATGGCTCGACGGCCTTCTTCTTGTTCTCCTGCTGCCTGAGCTGACCGATCTCATACTTGCAACGTTCGCAAA